CAGCTTTGCGTTACGATTCATGATTTATTTCATGACATATTTAACCGTTTTTTTTGTGCGTTTGTGTGTCTTTTTTCTTTCTCACTTCTGGTTTGTTTGTCTTTCATTCTGTTCTGTTCTGTACGGTATGCGAGTTTGTTTGTTTGTTCATTCGACAATACAAGGAAACTTTTTCACACATGTTGCATAGTCGGTCAGCCCACATCGTCGAAGTAATCTCTGGGATCCCTGTACTTGCCTACTTCCACCCTTCCTCCCTCCCCACTGCCTCACCCCACAGGTAAGTAAGTACTCTGTCTGTAAGTCTTTTGGTACCCAGTCACAATCCGTGGTGGAGAGAGGCATTGTAGCAGAAGTGTGACCACCAAATATGAGTTGGTTAAGAATTCTGTCTGATAGGAGGAAAACCAGTTGGCTCAGCCAAGGAGCATGCTGACTCCTCAAGGCAACTGTTCAATTGTCACGGGGTATCAAACATTCTCTTAATCCATAGTATTCTGAACATACTCTGGTTGTAGGTTAAACTTCTTTTGATTCCCTAATCAATTTCTACAGATATTTACTTATGTGACGGCAACTTTGGATCCCGTTGAGTTGGGTATTTCACCACAGGAAGCTAAGCACATTTTGGAAAACATCAAACAGGACATCGATGTGTCTATCCAGTGCGATAACAAGTTGTTTGTTTTCACTGGAAAGCTGAAGGAAATCAATGAGTGCCACCTTCTTGCGATGAAGTATCTGAGCGAAGGTCAGCTTATTGATGCGCAACTGAACAACCTTTCTTTGGCGAGCAATGGCGCAGAAGTCGAGAATCGGGGAGTAGGAAAGGTGCTAACAACGTTTGGAGGATCTGACGTAATCGTAGCTGCGAGAGTCGATAAAAGTCCTGGAGCGAAGGTCATCCCTGTCAATGAAGTCAACAGCGTCGATCATGAAGGACGTGTACATCCCACAATAGAGGCACGATGGTTTCAAGTAGATCCATATGCCTCCCGTTTTATGGAGAAGTTTTTTAAAGAGCAGTTAGATGAGATCAATGGAAAATTTCTTGTAGAAATTACCGCTTCCGATGACGGTACTCGTGTTGTACTTCAGGCTAAACAGAACTGTGATCCTACAAGATACAACACTGCTTGCAGTGAGCTTTCAGAACTTATTAAAACTGTCACCCAAGGTATGGTTATCAATGAGTTGGACTTAAGAGGTGCAGACGAGGATTCAGCTAAAGTTTTAATGGAATACATTGGAACTATGTACCCAGTGATCGTTGACCAGCCCCAAGAACACGGTCCGTTTTTTGTGTATGGCGATGCTGCATCTGTAGGAGAAGCCAGGCGAACTGTGAAAGGGGGAATGAGTCAACAGGAAAGTTATGATACTGGCCTTGGTACTCATGATATGGTAATGGCAGCACCAGAAATGATTTCTTTTGAAACCTCTAGTTATCGATCAGAAAATGGTATTTGTATCTCCCTTCGTTATGGAGACATCACTGCCGAGGAAGTAGATGCAATCGTGAATCCTGCGAACGAATTTCTGTACCACTTAGCTGGCCTTGCGAAGCTGATCGTCCAAAGAGGTGGGCTTGAAATCCAGAGGGAATCTGACACTTTGATGCGAAAACGTAGTTATCAAGCGCTACACATTGGAGACGCTGTGCATACAGTCGCTGGAAATCTTCCCTGTAAGTTTGTCATTCATGCCGTTGGTCCCGAGTGGGCTAGACACTCACATACAGAAAATATGAAACTTTTAAAGAAAGCGTGCCTTCAGTGTCTTAAACTAGCGTCTAAACTCGGTTTATCATCCATCGCTATTCCAGCGATTACCTCCGGTATCTTTGGTGCCCCAGTTGATGTGTGTGCCTTTGCCATGTTAAACGCAGTGGAGGAGTATCTCAGGATGCCGACGGTAACAAACAAAGAAGATGCAAAGAAAAAAGGGTCAAAACAAAGTAACCAGAAACACAAACAAACAGATAAAGAGAAAATATCGACGAAGCCACCGAAAGACACGCCAAGCAAAACTACCGATGAAGAAAAGGAGGGAGCAAACCCAAAAGCCGCTCTAGACGATATTCGTTTTGTCCTCATTGACGCTGACTCAATGGATGTCTTCCAGAAACAGTTCATCGAAAGATTCGGTGATATCAAAGGTGTCATCACTGATGACTTTAATGATGTCCATGACGAACATGATGATGATGAAGTTTAACGCGAGAAAATCACAATTTCATTATTAAACTGGACTTGTACTCGTAACAGGAACTGTCACTGGGGAAGCTTTGCTGTGACGCAACGTTCTTGATGAACATTTTCCTTCCTCGCTACGTGAGATGACTGAAAATCATAATGTCGCTGCAAACACTATCTTATCTTCATCAAGCAGTGGCTAGTACCGAGTTTAGATTTTTGTGACTTTATCGGTCATTGGAAGCTCCATTGACTGATGATCACTATTCCTCATACTAAGCTTGCAAGTGATCATGATTGTATCTACTTCGTTCAAACCGCTCTATGATATTTGTAATATATTTAACCACCCTTATGGTTCACTTTAAGTCATGGAAAATTCAAGTTGTTCGTTACTAATAGCGTGGTTTAATAGACCAATGTACTGACTCCAAATTGATTCAGACGATTTAGTTAACTATGAAAAGTGGGAGCAAACTCAAAACCAGATCTGCTTCGTCTCTTGTTATTCATAGGTGCGGTTGCGCAAGTGGAGCCTGTCGACCAATCGCATGCAGGATACCACTGTACATACTCAAAGCCTACTGTTTAGAAACTAAAAGTAGGCCTTTTTTAACATGATTCCTGATCGCTATTGTGTTGTCCCCCTACACAGTGTGTGTGAATGCTATTTTCAAGGTGCAAATGCGTGTGGGTAAAGCCCCTTTACAGCGTTAGGATATTCACCTTTTGTCGAATGAAGAAAAATTCATAGATACCAAGATAAGGTTTAGTTGGCTACACAGTTTACATTATTGACAACATGACTTTCTAATTATCTTTTTATTATATTTCAACAAAAATAACCGGAGTTAGAAAGATTTGCTTTTCCCTCCCACGCACTCAACGAATAACTCGATGCTTCTTGATAAGAAATAAGAAATTTTACGCATTTACCACTCCCGAAAAGTCCATTACCTCTAATTACTATTAATATCAAACAAAGACTACGATGAAGATTTAGATATATGAAAATTCACATATTTGCACTGCGGTGGAAAGATGAAATTAGAAGATCCTCGCAGCTAAGAACACCACTGAAACTAGTAGTTGTAAGTAGGACCTGAAAAAAATTTCAGGCCCGTACGGGATTTGAACCCATGACCTCTGCGATACCGGTGCAGCGCTCTACCAATTGAGCTAACAAGCCAACTGGGAGCTGGTCAATGAATTGG